TTTCCCTACCCATGACCATGGCCGTCTTCCCAGCACAGGCTGAGTTCTCAGCCCTTGTCCAAAACCCAGGCTTGGTAGACGCCTGCAGGAAGGAAGTGGCTGTCGAATGCCAGTTCACTTCTCCTTGACTTCCAGTACTTGAATACAATGTGTGACAATTAAATCAGGATTCTTAATGCCTCTGTTATTTCAGCCATTTGTTATAACTTTGTGCTGGGAACATTTTCTGTCCTCTTTAAGTACCCTTGAGGTATATGCTGAATCACTGTTAACCATATTCACCCACAATATTTTATAATAAGCCATGTGGAAGTCCAGTGTGTCTTAACCACCATGCCACCTGATGCCCCCCCCCATTCCGTATAAATTTGATGATTTCTTTTTTCTATTTCTGTGTAGAATGTCCTTGGTATTCTGGTAGGTATTGCATCAAGTCTGTAGACTGCCTTCAGTTGGCTAGACATTTTCTATTTTAAAGAATTGTTTTATTTAACTTTATTTATTTGTTTATTTTCTAATTTGACCAGAGAGGGGTAGAGCAAGAGGTGGGAAAAAGTGAGAAAGCAAGCTACCAGGTGTGGGACTCGAACTGTGGTCAACAATGTGAGAATCCAGTGTCCTTAACCACCATGCCATCTGCCAGCCCCAGTAGTATAGACATTTTAACAATATTGATTCTTCCTATAGTGAATATGGTCCGGCTTTCTATTTTTTGTGTGTCTTCAATTTATTTTCATCAGTGATTTAGGGGTTTTTTTGTTTTGTTTTTTTTTTTTTTAGAGGTTTTTGCTATAGGGCATTTTGTTTTCTTTGTAGCTTTTGTATTTACAAATCCCAAAATCCCCATTTGGCATTGTTTTTTTAATTTCTTTTTTTAGCTGTTTCATTATTGGTGCATAAAAGCACTATAAATGTTTTTATGTTGATTTTGTATCCCACAACTTTAGTGAGCTAGTTCTAAGTCCTTTTTTGTGGTGGAATCTTTAGAGGTTTTTTTTTTTTTCTTTTTTAATAAAAGCTTATCACCCGCATACAGGGACAGTATGACCTCCTTCTTTCCAGTTTGGATGCCCTTTCTTTTTATTGCCTGTTTGCTCTGAACTTCAGTGCTGTGTTGAATAAGAGCAGTGAAAGTGGGCCTTCTTTTCTTGTTCCAGTTCTTAGAGAAAAAGCTTTCATCTCTTCCCCATTCAGTATATCAGCTATGGATATTGAGTCACATGTCTTTAGTCTTGATTTTCTTTTCTTTTCTTTTTTTTTTTGAGTGTTTTCATGGTAAAGACAGGTTGAATTTTGTCTAATGCTTTCCCCCACATCTACTGAGACAATCATATTGCTTTTTGCCTTCAGCATGTGGCTGTGGCATATCATTTTTATAGATTTGCATACATTGAGCCATCCTTGCATTCCTGAAATGAAACCAACTTGGTCATGGTGTCTCATCTTTATGATTTGCCCTTGGAGTTAATTTGCTAGTATTTTGATGAGGGTTTTTGTATCAGTGTTCATTAGGGAGATTGGTCTATAGTTTTTGTTTTTGTTGTGTCTTGTCTGGTTTTGTGTCAGGGTAATGGTAGTCTTATAGAATGAATTTGCGAAAGCTGCTACCACTTCAGTTTTTTGAAATAATATAAGAATTGAAATTAGCTCTTCTTTAAAAAAGTATTGCAGAAGTCAGCAGTAAAACTTTCTGGTCTTGAGTTTTTCATTGTTAGGAAACTTTATTCCTCATTTGAACTCATTGACTATTACTTGTCTATTCAGGTTTTGTATTTCTCATCATGAACTCTTGACCTTTCTAGTTCAGATTCCTCAGCAGGCCTTTCATGCCTTTTTAGGGCAGTCCTTGTATATCTCGTTGAGTTGGATGAGAGCACTGATGCACTTCAGGCTACTCTAATATTAGCTGGAGGACAAAGACTATACAATTGTTTTTGAAAGAAGTGCCAATGAGTAGATTATTTTTGGGACCAGCGGTTAGCGTAATGGCTATATCGCTGGACTCCCACGTAGTCAACCTCGGTTCGAGTCCCGGACCCGGTGGCTTAAAACTCACGCCAGGCGTGTTTGCATGCGTGCCCAAGATCCCGAGAGGAGAATGGAGGAGAAGGGATTGCGGTGTGGCCATCCCCCCGGGGGGTGATTTCTCGCTTTCTGTCTCTCTGTTTCTCTCTGTCTGGCTGGCAAATGCACACACCCTATAGCAAAAACCTCTCCAAAAAAAAAAAAAAAAAGAAAAGAAAAAAAGTAGATTATTTTGTGAACTTCTATTTTGTCTTGCTTTATGGTATAAGGTTTCAATATATGAACTTTGTTTTTCATTGCTTATTGAGGTAGTGAAATAAAACCTTTCCTTCTGAATTATTATTGTAATAATTGTCAATGTATTAATTCATGGTATTTATAGCCAATATTGATTACTAACTTTATTCTCTGCTTATGAGGATTAAGACTATCTCCTGATATTGTACCATACAGTAAGATTGAACATGAAGTGAACCTACAAAGTTAGTGATAATACAATAGTAAGTCTGTATTCTTCTGCTTTCAACTTTTGAACTTATTCTTCTGGTAAAGTTGTAGCAGTTCATAAACCCAGTTGGCAAAATGGCTCATGAAGATCTTAACCTTTAACTATAATTGTAGTTATTGACAATCATTGAGGGAACTATCTTTGGTTTTCTCTTAGGAAGTGTTCTTTGAGTCTTTCAAAACAAGTAAATCCATGATGGCTGTCATTTTTCTCTGCTTTTTGTGTAGGAAGAAGAGAGTGAAGAGGAGCCCAAACTGAAATATGAAAGACTTTCCAACGGGGTGACTGGAATCCTGCAGAAGGATGCAGCTAGCTGCATGACAGTTCATGACAAGGTAAGGTGGCACTTTGAGAGCATCTTTCTGTAAGGTATTTCTCTTATAAGTTTGTGCTTTGGAGTCTTGGTAGTTCTTTACAGTGAGTGTCTCCCCACCACTCTTTTATTCCCCACCAACGAAAAACAAGACAACCCCAAGTGTAAAACTTCAACACTTTTATGTATGTGTACGATACGCACATACCTTAATACAACACACTCCAAGGGTGTTTCCAGTAGCGTTTAGACAGTGGTTGATATAAAAGATTTATTATAAAGTGGTTCCTGGAAACTCTGTCATTTGATTCTTCATAGGATTAGATTAGAAATGTGTTAGATTAAAAACAGTGCAGCTCAGTGCTTTCATAAAGGAATCAAGAGATTACACTGAAAGTATTAGCAATCAGTAGAAATGACCCTGATTATTGCACAAATGAATTAATATATTCCACCTCTGGGTTCTTGCAGTAAAAAAGCTCTGTGAACTTTCTGAGTCTAGGATAAGTGCTAAATAGTACCTTAAAAACCCCCCCAAAAAAAAAAAAAAAAAAAAAAAAAAAGAAAAAAAGTAGATTATTTTGTGAACTTCTATTTTGTCTTGCTTTATGGTATAAGGTTTCAATATATGAACTTTGTTTTTCATTGCTTATTGAGGTAGTGAAATAAAACCTTTCCTTCTGAATTATTATTGTAATAATTGTCAATGTATTAATTCATGGTATTTATAGCCAATATTGATTACTAACTTTATTCTCTGCTTATGAGGATTAAGACTATCTCCTGATATTGTACCATACAGTAAGATTGAACATGAAGTGAACCTACAAAGTTAGTGATAATACAATAGTAAGTCTGTATTCTTCTGCTTTCAACTTTTGAACTTATTCTTCTGGTAAAGTTGTAGCAGTTCATAAACCCAGTTGGCAAAATGGCTCATGAAGATCTTAACCTTTAACTATAATTGTAGTTATTGACAATCATTGAGGGAACTATCTTTGGTTTTCTCTTAGGAAGTGTTCTTTGAGTCTTTCAAAACAAGTAAATCCATGATGGCTGTCATTTTTCTCTGCTTTTTGTGTAGGAAGAAGAGAGTGAAGAGGAGCCCAAACTGAAATATGAAAGACTTTCCAACGGGGTGACTGGAATCCTGCAGAAGGATGCAGCTAGCTGCATGACAGTTCATGACAAGGTAAGGTGGCACTTTGAGAGCATCTTTCTGTAAGGTATTTCTCTTATAAGTTTGTGCTTTGGAGTCTTGGTAGTTCTTTACAGTGAGTGTCTCCCCACCACTCTTTTATTCCCCACCAACGAAAAACAAGACAACCCCAAGTGTAAAACTTCAACACTTTTATGTATGTGTACGATACGCACATACCTTAATACAACACACTCCAAGGGTGTTTCCAGTAGCGTTTAGACAGTGGTTGATATAAAAGATTTATTATAAAGTGGTTCCTGGAAACTCTGTCATTTGATTCTTCATAGGATTAGATTAGAAATGTGTTAGATTAAAAACAGTGCAGCTCAGTGCTTTCATAAAGGAATCAAGAGATTACACTGAAAGTATTAGCAATCAGTAGAAATGACCCTGATTATTGCACAAATGAATTAATATATTCCACCTCTGGGTTCTTGCAGTAAAAAAGCTCTGTGAACTTTCTGAGTCTAGGATAAGTGCTAAATAGTACCTTTTCCCAGTCATAGAATGTTGCAGCCAGACAGTCTCAACCATCAACCATTGCTCCTTGCTTCCCACTGAGCCTGGGAGTAGGCTCTGAATCACTGCTCTATGCCCAGGGAGCCAAGTGCTGGTGCAGATTCACACATCTCACTAAGTTTGTCACTAAAAATTGCTATGATTTATTTTTCCTTCATCTCTTTAGTCCTCAACACTACCCCCTGTTCGTTTTTTTTGTTTGTTTTTTTTAAAAATTTTTATGCCTTAAGACGTGTGCACTGGCCAGAGAGACAGGGAGAGACAGTGAGAGGGAAATGAGAAACCACCCCCTAGGGGGCTAGTGATTCCATAATGTCTTCTCCTTCATTTTCCTCCTGGTATTGTGGGCACACGTACACATGTGCCTGGTGTAATTTTCAAGCTACCAGATCCAGCACTTTAACTGAGAAGATGGCCGTGTGGACGTCCAGTGCCTTAGCCAGCACACTACCTGCTGGCTCAGAGGACCATATTGTTTCTATTTAAAATCTATTTCTTTTTTTTTTTTTTTTTTGAGAGGTTTTTGCCATAGGGCGTGTGCGCTCACCAGACAGAGACAGACAGAAAGCGAGAAATCACCCTCCTGGGGGGATGGCCACACTGCAATCCCTTCTCCTCCTCCATTCTCCTCTTGGGATCCTGTGCATACATGCATATGCGACTGGCGTGAGTTTCAAGCCACCAGGTCTGGGACTCGAACCACAGTCGACTACGTGGGAGTCCAGCAACATAGCCATTACACCAACTGCTAGTCCCTAAAATCTATTTCTATTTAATAGCCAGCCTGTGGCTTGGTAGGTAAGGTGGCTGCCAACTACGCAGTTCAACTCCTGAACCTGGTGCCCTGAAAAACATGCCAGGTGCATTTGGGTATACATTCAAACCCCAAAAGAGGAAGAAATGAAGGAGAAGGAATTGTGGCATAACTATGCCCCATGGTGGAAGTACTTTCTCCTCCCCTTCCCTGTCTGTCTCTGGTGTGTGTACATGCCCTCTGGCAAATTAAAAAAAAAGAAAAGAAAATCGCACCCCTCATGTGTGATCAGCCTCAGTTCCTGAGCCCTTTCCCATCCTGGCTGAATCCACACTCTTCCTCACCCACAGCAGGTTTTCTTCCTCCTGTTCAAGGGCCTCGTTGTCCGTATTTGTTCTCTACGTCATCTCATTACCTCCTTTTTCTCCTTGAGATACACTCTCATGAAACATACCTATCACGAGCCCCAGGTCACCTCCGTTGTGCTTGCTGTTGTTATGCATTTGCCAGTCTCGGAGATTTTTGTGTAAGTGAAATCAGGCATCATTTGATCTCTTGTACTGGGCTTCTTTCACTCCCTGTTTTTTATTTTTTCTTCTTTTTTTGGAGAAGTTTTTGCTCTAGGGCATGTGCGCTTGCCAGACAGAGAGAGAAAGAGGAGAAAGAGAGAGACAGAGAGAGAGAGACAGACAGACAGAAAGCGAGAGATCACCCCCCAGGGGGGATGGCCGCGCCGCAATCCCTTCTCCTCCATTCTCCTCTTGGGATCTTGGGCACACATGCACACACGCCTGGTGTGAGTTTAAGCCACTGGGTCCGGGACTCGAACCGCAGTCGACTACGTGGGAGTGCAGCGACATAGCCATTACACTAACTGCTGGTCCTCACTCCCTATTTTTGAGGTACTTTTATAACAGCATCTTCATTCTTTTTCATTGCTGAATAGTATTCCGGTGCACAGACATAGCTACGTTTTGTCTTTCTGTTCATCAGCTGATGGACTTCTGATTTTAAACTGTGGTTCACACCTTTCTCCTTAAAACTTCTTGATCATGACATAATCCTCTTCTTATTTTCTTGATTATATGTGACATTCCCTTCTGGTTTTTTTCGCTGTCATTACTTCCTTCTTTTGCTTGCATGTTGGTTTTCCTAAGTTTTGGTCTATCACCCACATTTTTTTTTTTTTGAGAGGTTTTTGCTATAGGGCATGTGCACTCACCAGACAGAGAGAGACAGAGAGACAGAAAGTGAGAAATCACCCCCTAGGGGGATGGCCATGCTGCAATCCCTGCTCCTCCATTCTCCTCTCTGGATCTTGGGCACGCACCTCATGTGCCCTGCACGAGGTTAAGTCACTGGGTCCGAGACCGCAGTTAACTACCTGGGAGTCCAGTGACATAGCCATTAAACCAACCCCTGATCCCCATCGCCCACATTTTATAGTTTGTACTTTGTGTTAGTTTTGAATTTTATGATTTTTTTTTTTTTAATTTTTTGGAGAGTTTTTTGCTATATGGTGCGTGCACTAGCCAGCCAGACAGAGAGAGACATAGAGACAGAAAGCGAGAAAACGCCCCCCCCAGAGGGGATGGTCACACCATAATCCCTTCTCCTCCATTCTCCTCTCGGGATCTTGGGCACGCACGCATATGCGCCCAGCGTGAGTTTAAGCCACCGGGTCCGGGACGCGAACCACGGTCGACTATGTGGGAGTCCAGCGATATAGCCATTACGCTAACTGCTGGTTCCCGTGAATTTCGTGATTTCTAAGACCACCTGCTCCCTGTCCCTCACCAGAACTACATGCATACTTAGACATCTCCTCAACATCCCCACCTCTGGTTTCATTTTTACCTGAACTGCAGCATATCCACAATGAACTCTTCTTTTCCCTGTACATTTGCATTGATTTTTTTGATCTCTGTCCCATTTGGTATCAACCCCATCTCCTTTGTCACCTGAGCCGAAGGTGGCTCCTCCTCCCCTTCCATCCAGCTGTCCCCTGAGTTCTGGTGACGTTCTGGCTACTTATGCTCTAGCTTAGGTCCATATCTTCTCCTGTCTGTGCTTGGGAAATGGAATCTCGTGTGCCACTGGTTTTTCCACTTTAAACCCATCTGCTACCTGGTTGGCTGAATGATATGCTGAATTATAGGTTTTAAAAACCTCTGTACGATTTCCGTCACCTCTTAGATACAGTAACGTGGTCAGTAAGTGCTGACCACATTCTGCGAGATCTTGCCTCCTGTGTATCATTGGCCCTCTGCCCCTTTTTGTCCTAAGTGCGGTGCTCTGGCAGCAGCACGTGGTCATCCCACTCACAGCAGCCCTGTGCTTGGACCTTGCCCCATCCCACTTGCTCGCGTCCACTCGGCCCTGGGCACATTGCTTCTGTTGGTTCAGGCACTTAACCTGTGTCCTCGGAACTACAGCAAATAATGTGAACGAATTTATTTTATTTCAGATTTACTTTCACTCTATTCTATTCATAACACTTTCACTAAATTAATCTTCCAGAAGTTCTGGCCTGATCATGTCACCCTCCTTTCTTTTCTTGGCGTTCTGATGTCTGAATGGTTGGGACCCTCGCCCCTGCTTGCTTCTGCTCTCCTACCATCCCACTCTCCGTGAATGACCACCTGCCTCGTATTAGCCAGCACATCAGCCTTATCACCTGTCCTCCCCTGGGCACCAGTCCGATCTTTCACCCTTTAAAACTGCTTAAAATTTCCTGACTTTGTCCTGTTTTTTTGTGACACCTTTAAGCAGTTTGTATCTATTCTGCCAAAAATCGTCTTCACCGCTGCCTGCCACGTCTCCCTCACTATTTTCTAATTCCTCCTTCCAAGTTTAGCACAATGACAACTCTTCTGTTTTGTAGGGTCTTAGAGATACTTCCATTTTAAACATACTCTTTTAAGTTTAATTGCAATTAATCAATGTTTATATTGATCTTTCTCATTATACTGTAGCCCTTTAAGTCACACTTGGTCATTGTCTAAGCATATTACAGTGTTTTTGTGTGTTTGTTGAATGAACTACCGAGCGAATGAAATGAAGTTTGCCTGCCTAGAGATCAAGGTTTAATATCATTGCAGACCAAGTTGGCCCTACTGGGGGTGCCCCTCTCTTTCTCATGGAAGAAATAAATAAACTTCAACAACAACAAATACTATGTGGCAGACAGGTGGCCTTACGAAGCCAAGCAGATTTAAATGTGCTGCATTTCCTTTGTAAGCTCCGGAGCAGTGCTTCCTCGTCTTCTACTCATTCGCTTACATCAAGTCCAGTTGCTCAAAGTAGAAGCCATTAGGCTCAGTGGATTAGCAAGACTAGCATGACCAATCTGATAGTTTATAAAATGAGTTAAGCTTCTTGTAATTAAACATGAAAGAAGCTAATGAAATGGTATTTATTTTTTTCCCATTGTGAATTTTAAGGACTTCAAGGTTAAAAAAGAAAAAATAGGAAACAAACCAAACTCAATAATTAGGAAGTTTAAAGGCTTTCAATGGCCAGGAGGAGAGTAAAATTTGCAAATTTTTAACTCATGTTTTGTCACGTTTATGGCCAATTTTTAATTTTTGCTGTTATTTTATGTTAGTCAAAAGCATTAGCAATTGGGGACCAGCAGTTAGCATAATGGCTATGTCGCTGGACTCCCATGTAGTCAACCGTGGTTTGCATCGGACCCAGTGGCTGAAAACTCACGCCGGGCACGTGTGCGTGCGTGCCCAAGATCCTGAGAGGAGAATGGAGGAGAAGGGATTGTGGCGTGGCCATCCCCCCGGAGGATGATTTCTCGCTTTCTCTATGTCTGTCTGGCGAGCTCACGTGCCCTATGGCGAAAACCTCTCCAAAAAAAAAAAAAAAAAAAAACGCATTAGCAAATGAAAATATGACTCATATATAATTTTAGTAGTTAAATGCGATTGGCTTATTAATATCTTTTTGAAAGAGACACAGTTTCTTATTTCTGAAAGCATTAGCAGTGGTTCATCCAAATGATGAAATGTTTTTCTGCACAAAGGGTAACTTGTCATAAAAATCATTTAGTTAAAAAAAAAGTTCGAGGGACCAGCAGGTGGTGTGGTGTTTAAGGGTGTTGGACTCTATGGCCAACCGTGGTTTGAGTCTCGGACCTGGCAGCTTGCTTTCTCACTTTCCCTCTCTCTTGCTCACTCGCTCACTCCGTCCCTCTCTGGTCAAATTAAAATAAATAAATAAAGTTAAATAAAATAATTCTTAGGAGAAAATGTTCTAAAATAATAATAGTTTTAGGTTAAAATAATAAAGTAAAAATAATTGATTTTCCCTTTCTGTTTTGAATATTAGATGAGTGAAACTTGTAAGTTTTTTAAAAAAAGTAAAGAATTAATATTGGCTTAAAGTACTTTGTATAAAACCTTTAAAACCTCCATAAAATAAAATATAATTAGTAGTCCAGAAGGGCTTTTGCAGAGGTTTGGGAGAATGACACTCATTGTTAAAGCATTTTAAGGATCCAAGCTCCCTTAGTTTTCTAACAAAGTAAATACAGTATTTATGAGGAGAATCAATACTGCGAGATACTTGGGGTGCAGTGAGCTTTTAAGACCCATTGTTTTACTGTGGCAAGCCTCAGAGTAGAGTATCGTTTGTTTCTTCATTAGGTGTTTTTCTATTTAAATATTGTCAGAATGTCACTGTAGAGACAAAACTGCAACCACATAATCCCCGAATTTCTGGTCAGAATGTTTTCTTTGGAGGAAACACTGCTATTTGGTTTAAATATTCAGGCTAATTTCCCCCCAGATTTCCTCTTCCCCCTTCCCTGGCAGGCCCAGCATCCTGTTTTCACCAGGCTCGCTGTCTGCCCGGATGACTAATCGCCATGGCACCTGGTGCATTCAGGCGGGCCTGTGCGGCGGAATCGTCATACCTAGTTATGTCTGCACACCTGATGTTTTATTAACCAGTATTGATTTTTTTACCCGGGGGACTTTTTTCTTCCTGAAAAAAGGCAACCTTGCAGGAGTGAAAGGCATTGTAGGGGATGAATCTCTAATGAACCCCTTCTTTCTCTCTTTGTGGCTCCTCTTTAATGTGGCCTCATATTTTAAGTGCCTGAACTGAAATTTCATTTTAAGCAATTCCATTTTGATAAATCCTTTTAAATCTTGACTTTCTGTAAGGTTATTTTTTAAAGATGTGCTGCTTGAGTGAAATGCTTAGTAGTGCCTGTAAATTTGAGCATTTCATTATAGGTTGCAATGAAGCATGCTCATGTGCAATGAAATACACAGAATTTTGGACTACTTGAGTAATGCTTAAAGAAATAACAGGGCAGAAAATCCTCATGTCATATTTCAGGGAGTCCCAAAGTTTCTTCTGGTTTGTTTAGCTTTAGTTCAAAGAATTAAAGAAACAGTGGGAGTTCGGGTTTTACTTTTAAAATGAATATGTAGCTCAACAGTTATTTTGTGACAGAAAAGGATTTCTTTTTGCATTAGAATATAAACATTTATATTCAGTATTACACATTAACTTTTATAGAGGCATCCCTAAGCTAGCTGGCAGCATATTTGAGGTTTTTATTTTTCAATATGGCATGGATTTTCCATTCCAAAAAAATAGCATTTTGTTGTTTGCGTGCATACATGCGTCAAACTTAAATGGTAGCACAGATTTACACATTTGCCATACATTCAGGGAGTTTGTTAATCTTTCCCTTCTGGCTTTGAGTCCAACTGTAGGTTGGCCATGCTTTCACGGCCGCATTTTTAATTCACTGCCTCAGTCCGACAGGCATTGTGTACAGACTGCACACACACCGTGAGTTGTCAGTAGATGCGACCCTCGTGAGTCATTCTGACAGCCAGCTCCTGCTGACACAGTAAAGTAAGCCCTGTTCTCTTATTTCCCCAACGCTGGGAGCAAGCCTTCTCCAAGGAACGCATACCTTCGGAGATGTTGGGTCCGGCTCGTTTACCCATGAAGCATCTGGGTGTTCTTACTCCTTGTGTATTAGCAGTCCAGTCATTAACCGGCTTCTCTATTCTCCTTGCAGTTTTTGGCCCTGGGCACACATTATGGCAAGGTTTATTTACTTGACGTCCAAGGGAACATCACTCAGAAGTTTGATGTAGTAAGTACATGGTGTGAAATAATGTACGAGCTAAACTTCATGCTTAGAGCTTGCGCTTTCCTATGTTAGCTGTAGCAGTTTGTTGTAATATCACTAGATAGCGGATCTTTATCAATGAAATCGGAATCGTGAGTCTAACTCTGGGCTCTGTATTATGTGCTGAGTATTTTAAAGGTAAGTCTGTAAAGAAAGATAACCCTGTTTATTCTGACTGGGTATCTTTTATAAAAACACGTTCCATGTAAAAGTCCACTCATAACCCTGTCTCATTGCCATTCTTTGGTTAAGTGTAGTCATTCATTGGATTTTAAATACATTCTTTTTAAATTGAAACTGCATAGAATGTCTAGGTAAATTGTTATTGAAAGAAAAAATATTGCTTTCATAAGTGAAGAATGGTGCTAATTTACATACTCTGGGGGTTTGTGGAATTCTTAAGTATGGACTCCTTGGGCTGGTAGGTAACGTGGTGGTTAAGGGCACTGGACTCCCACATGGTCGAGTGCAGTTCGAATCCTGGACCTGGCGGCTTGCTTTCTCACTTTCCTTCTCTCTCTCTGTCTCTCTCTCACACACACTCTGTCCCTCTCTAATCAAATTAAAATTTTAAAAAGTTAAATAAAATAATTCTTTTAAAAAAATAAAGTATGGATTCCCTTATTTGGTGACTAATGTCAGTTGAAAGTACAAGCTCTGTCTTATTGGGATGTCAAATGTAATTGAAAATTGATTGATCACCTTACCGAATCAGTTTATCTCTTCTATTAATAAATACATAAAGTTAAAATAGTTTACGTGAATGTTTTGGTGCTTGGACTCTTGGGGGGATTTACTGATTAAAAGCAAAGAACAAGCTTTTTAAAAAAATTGTGACTTGGAATCATTGAGGATGACGGAAATGTTGAATTTGAAGCTTCATTTTGGTCTTCAAGAGGTATATTAAAAATATCAAGAACTTTCATGGTTGCATGAATATGAATATTTGGGGTGGAAAAGGTGATCAGTTGGGGAATAGCTATTGCTTGTTTTCAAGAAGGCATCAGCACTTGTTGACAGGTCCATTTAACTTATCGATGGCACTCATAAAGGAGACTACAATTTCTAAAGCCAACACACTAGGTGAAAGGAAAGGGGAGACCTTTTTCGCTTAAGAGATGGAGCCACATAAGAGAACTGATGGTGGTGTAGCAGTACCACAGTGCTCTGTGAGGCTGGCCTACATGGGAAGGTTCTGGGTTCATGTCTAGGGACCTCCTTGTGCATGCCAGGCACATGTCCCCATGCACTAGGGCTGGCTGAAGCTGGGAGTGGGACCCTGTTGGTGCATAGTCACTTTGATGGAAGCAATGGATGCATAGATTTAAAAAAAGAAAAGAAATGGAACCACAAGGGCCAGCAGGTGGCATGGTGGTTTAGGTGGCTGGATCCCACATGGCCGACTACACAGTTTAAGACCCAGAACCCAAAGCTTACAAAGCATTCTGGACATACGTGTGTGCATGTATGCCCGAAATTCCAAGAAGAGAATGGAGAAGAAGGAATGGTGGCGTGGCTATTCCCCCTTTGGGGTATGTTCCAACTTTCCCTTTTTCTTTCTGTCTCTCTTTGGTGAGTGCACATTCCTTTTAGCAAAAATTAAGATAAAAAAGAAGTGGGACCATAGAATGACAGCATACTCCTTGGGCAGTTTAGAAAGGGAGCTATACTTTTTTTTTTTTTTGGAGAGATTTTCACTGTAGGGCGCGTGCGCTCGCCAGACAGACAGAGAGAGACATAGAGACAGAAAGCGAGAAATCACCCCCCAGGGGGGATGGTCATGCCGCAATCCCTTCTCCTCCATTCTCCTCTCGGGATCTTGGGCACGCACGCACACGCGCCCGGCGTGAGTTTTAAGCCATCGGGTCCGGGACACGAACCGCGGTCGACTACGTGGGAGTCCAGCGACATAGCCATTACGCTAACTGCTGGTTCCCGGGGAGCTATACTTTTTAATCATACTTAAAATATCAGGCAAATTGCTGGTACTCATTTTGTTTTAGTATCTCTTTCAGGCAAGAGGAATCTATTTTAGACCCTCTCTCATCTGCCTGCTGGGCACTGGACTTGCATCTTAATGATGTCACCATTTGGCCTGTACATTAGTGTGTATAACTGATGCTGGGCCAGGACTCTTTTTCATGGTGTCATGCTTATCTTCTCCCCTTTGAAAACGGGCCTTCTTACATGGTGTTGTAAATTTTCTGCTCCAGTGTAATCATTCTCTGATGCTCTTTTCCTAAGTAAGTCTTTTTTAAGATTTTTTTGCGATAGGGCTTGTGCGCCCGCCAGTGAGAGACAGAGACAGAAAGAGGGAAAGTGAGAAATAACCCCCCAGGGCGGATGGCCATGCTGCAATTCCTTGTCCTCCATTCTCCTCCTGGGACTTTGGGTATACACGCACATGTGCTGGTGTGATTTTTGCTGCAATTCCTTCTTTCTTTCTTTTCTTTCTTTCTTTTCTTTTTCTTTTTTTGTTTTAAGATTTTTGCTATAAGGTTGAATTTGCTAATTTTCTTTAAATGTAATGGTTGACATATTTAATTGAGAATGTTTTATTACAAACATAGAGAGGAAAAAAGCAATAAAAAAAGTCATGAATAAAACACCCGATTTAGTTTTCACTTCTAGTTGAAAATAATTTGAATAAATTCAAATGAGATAAAATAACAATACTTTGCATTTCCCCAACATTGTTAGTTTTCTTAGGAAATACCTCTTCAGCCCATTCATTGAATTTATATGTTCATTGCTGATAATAAAATTCAGGAAGCTGTAGTTTTTGACCCTTACTGGTCAATAGAATTTTGTTTCGCAGAGGGTAGGCGCATCGAGGAAGCAGTTTTAACAAGATTTCCCAGGTGAATCTGATATTTGAGCTGAAATGGGGTCATTACACTTGAGGCTGTATAACTTTCAATATGCATGATATAAAAGAAGGGATAATTAAACTTATTCTGTATGTTGAAGTTATTTATTTTCTCATTAATATTTCAGGAGAAATGCTATTAGATAGAACCTACTAAAGCTAAATAAATATATGGCAGCTTAGTGACCCTGCAGTTGTATTCAAGAAAAATGCATGTAATGCAAATATCTACACAAAAAAATACAGAATTTGTTAACAGTAGATTAATTCATAATAGCCCAAACTAGAAACAACCCAAATGTCCATCAATAGTAAAATGGTATTTAAATTGGGACACATTCTTGGCAGTTAAAAAGAATAAACTACCAGTACATATACCAGCAGAGATGGATTTCATGGACTTAATGTTCAGCCAAAGGAGCCAGACATGAATGTGTGTATGTCGTGTGATAACTTGTGTGTGATGGTCAAGAAGCAGCAAAACCAAACTGTGCTGCTAGAGGTCAGGTAACTCCTGGGAGGGAAACACAGGGGCGTGTTCTGGAGTGCTGAAAACACTCTGCCTCGATGGTCACGGTACAGCCCCTTTTCCTCCATTCTCGTCTCGGGGATTTTGGGTGCACACACTCGCGGTGTGATTTTCTAGGGGCTGAGTCCAGGCCTTGAACCAGGGTCGGCCATGTGAGGCCAGCATTTAACCACCACACCACCTGCTGGCCCCCGAGGATGGCATCTTGTTCATAAATTTTATATAAATGACTTATGCCACCAAGATTATTCCTGAAGGAAACAGACAGCCCCGTACTCTTTTGCGATGACACAGTCGGTCAGTGGAGGCCCGGCTACAGGGATGCAGGCTGTAGCGGGTCACCGTGTGATACTCAGTCATGTGGGGACCCTGGGTTTGCGTCCCAGGCTGATCTGAACGTGCATGGTACATCCGTGGACATGTCTGCCATCCTGCTGACTGGAGGACTGAGAGCCAGATGGGATTATGGTGTGGGGACACCCTGTCAAGAGTGTCTGTCAGTCTGTCTCTCTCTCATAAAACATATAAGTAAACTTCAGAAAAGCTGAATAAAAAGGTTGATAGGATTCTGTCATAGTCATCCATGACTGTTCTCTTGTTGATCAAGAGTGACAGCTGCTAGGATGATGCTTCGTTGTATGTGTTGATATTCAGGTTTCAGTATATTTGCAAGAATATTCAGCCTATATGTTAGGAATAGGCTTTGGTCACAAGATTTTTTCCCTTCCACTAACTGTTTTTTGAGATAACTTCTAGATAAACATTACTTTTACTTGAACTTAATTGATACAGTTCAGTTTTACAGAGTGTAAATTAAACAGACCTTACTTGTCTTTTAAAATGGCTCAAGTTGTTATGAAAATTGCCTTCTTTAATATAGATCAGGCCATATTCCCATGAATAATGGTTGTCTTAATTACTTAATTAACGTATGACTTTAAAACCCTTAGAAGAGCTCATATTCCTTTTAAATTCCCACATGATATTTATGCCTAACCGTGTCATTAATCATAGTAGTTACTTTCTCTTTAATAGCCTCCACTTTCTTTAAGCATATTAATTTATGACGTACTAATTAAGGGTACTTACTTTGAAGTAATGATTGAGTTATTGTTCCATCTTTGTTGATTATTTTGGAGTATCAGGCCATGCATTTTTAATATTTAATTCTTATGAGTGTGTGAACGAGAGAGCAAAGAATTGTACTGCTCAGACAAGCGTCTGCTGCTTACCTTAGTGTGTTTTCTTTGCTAGAAATAGAAAATGACAAGATTTTGCTGTGAGATTCTGTGGTGGGAGACATTTGATAAACACTTGTAAAAATGGGTGGTTATGAAAAGAAAGGGATAAGAAAACAAAATAAAACAAAGCAAATATACATAGTGGACATTTTATATTACAAAAGGGCTGACAAGGTTCAAGTCCTGGACCCAGCGGCTTAAAACTCATGCCGGGGGCCTGTGTGTGCATGCCTCGAAATCCCAAGAAGAGAGTAGAGGAGAAGGGATTGCAGTGTGGCCGTCCCTCCGGGGGTGGGGGTGATCTCTCTCTCTCCGTCTCTCTGGC